ACAATAAATTTCCCTCTCCATTTCAATTTTCACCGTTTTGCTCCTATATAAGCTGAATATTGAACGTCATGCATGCTCTAGCGGTATCTGTTTTACAATTTTTGCTATATTTATTTTGCACTAAGAATCCTTGCTTCTGAGGCTAAAGTACGATTGATAAGACCAGGACCAAACGGGTGGTGAACGTGTGGCTTTAAATCAAGTATTTTTATGATTTATGTTATTACTTTTACAGCCGTATTAAATTGCCTGTAATAAAATTTTGTCCACATATTAGACTAATTATAAATGAAAATAAGGTCAAACATCTTTATTGTTATATATCATATTAAGTAACACTGGAATACTAACCAGACAGACATAAAATAGATGTTTAAAAAGTACATTTACTTCGGCTTTTTTTTTTGCCGTTGATTGAATGAAGATCTTAACCTGTTATTGTAATTAAAAGAGATCTTGTTAATCTAACTTCTGTTATTGGGACCTGGATATTCAATGTTAAAAACAAAGGCGTGGTTTCTCATTTTTAAAACTGAAGTTATCTGCTGGTAAAGGAAACATTATAAGACTATGCCTCTATAAATCCTTTGCAGGACCTGTTTTCTTATTGGTATGCAGTAAACAAAATGGTTTGGCAAACTCTGACATCTGTATGTACAATAGCCACCTTTCCAAACCAGTCATCTGTGTTTGATTTTTTACTCATTTTTACAGAAAGTAAACAAACGTTTTTACCATTTCTGTGTCATAGTGTTTATCATTTACACTTCTGTTGATTCTGTAGTAAAATTGTTATTTAGTTAAACTTGGATGACGTCATTTCCGACCTTTGACATATCTCTACTCTTTGAAGTAGGCCATTAAAGTGTAACCATTGAGTTGTATAATTTCTGAGTGCAACTGGTCACTCCTGCCCTCGATGTGTGAATAGTATCACGCGATAATCAAAAGCTTTTACTCAAGAATGCCCCTAACACCGTTCTTGATGTTGCACATTCTTACATTGATAATCTGTATCATGGCAAAGACAGAAAGGTCTTTTAACATACTATGCCTTAGATGACGAGGCTTGTTTCTGGGTAGCTTATTTCTGTTTCACAATCTGTCAGCTAATAATTCCGTCAATTCCGATCAGCTACTTCATCTTTTAGTTTTTTGTCACTTGTACACAGCAAGAGAAAAAGAAAGGTAGAACCGGATGGCAACGTATTGCACAAGATTTAAAAGGAAAGTTTCAAAACTCTTAGACGGATGATAAAATAGGTTAAAATAGGTCAATGATATTATTGTTCTGATTTGAATTTAGATAAAATAAAATTTGGCCGAGTAATTATAATATAAGTGAAATTGTTGACAGGTGATAAGAACAATATGACACTGTATATGACTTGATTGTTATATCTAGAAATTAAAATATTGATTTTAAAAAAGATAAATTTATCAATGATTGACGTCACACGCTTGGCGCGTGTGGGTTTATTCTCTATCGAAATTGGCGCGATTTCAAATTTTATAAATGATTATCTAATATCAAATAGAACAGATAGAGAATTCAGAACCACATATTCATCACCCTGTCAACAAACTTTGTTCAAATCCAGCAATCGATATAGTCTAGACGATAGGCTATGTTTTAAAAAATGCATTCAATTTTATACGAGCTTCATATGTTACATGTTAAAATGTATTTCATCTCCTCTGTCTAACTAACTGATCGGGTAACCCAAACTTCAGTCTTTATTGTAGTGAAATTTTGATAAAAAGCTACTACTACTTTGTCCATTGAGTAATGCGTGACATGCTCCCTTTGGTTTCATCAGATTCATTCTACTTGTGTAGTTCTTCTTCTGTTAAGATTCTTCCTTTCAGTCAAGAGCGACGTGCTCTTAAAACTCCGCCTGTATCTCCTTCTGTGATTCTTCTTGACGATCCATCGGGGACATCTCCAACGATGACCACATCTAGAAGAGCAGGGCATTCTTCTGATGATGTGATGATTCCTCATTCACCTATAATAAACTGTCTCACAGATTGTTGACATTCCCTCCTCCGTATGGGACAGAATATTCTTCAGGGTGCTTAGATATTCTGCCGCGCCAGCTTCACCACAGGGACATTGTTGCGTATCTTTGATTTCTTATCTCACCCACCATTCTCGGACGGTCGACAGAACTTTCTTTTTGGCGTGATAGGTCCGAGATGATTCTCTAATGCGTTTAATTGTTTTACCAGTATCTTAGGGCTAACTCCTCCCTGTAGATATGTACAAGGACAGGGACCAACATCTTCTTAACGGGTATACCATTGGACTATTTACTCTTATTTACAGTAAACCATAGGGCAATTTACGTGTAAACCATTGGGCAATAATTGACCTCTTAACGAGTCAACCATGTGCAATACACATGTACTTCTTTACGAGTAAACCAATCACATTCTTGGTGAAACAAAAAATAGCTACCGGTATTTCTAAAAAATAAATTTTATATACGCTGTAATGAAATCAGTTTTCTTTGAATGCGATCCAGTGGTATATTATAAATATAATTTTTCTAAGAACTGATTGTCGACATGCTCGTTTTTAAAGCATTTGATCGTCCTTTTTTAGCTAATTGAAATTCCCGATTTTATAATCAGGTTAAAGTGTATTTAGGCCACAAGATATTATGACAGTTGTATGTTTAACTAGGAGGGAGCGTCTGTACCACCGTTTGCTGAAAATATTTATATTCATGACGGTGACGTTTATTTGAAAAACCAAATGTTAAGGAATTAAGCAGAAAATAGAAGGATTCCGACACCCCTTCCGCAATCTATCGAGAAAATATAGCCTAGGGTTATGTGACATGTTAAGAATACAGTTTTTTGTTAAAACAAAATGAAATGTTTGTTGGCTATACGTAAGCAATATGACGATGAAGAGCTTGTCCATACTAAACCATAGTAGGACATAGTATTATTAAGATAGTAGATCCCTTTAAACATGATACATATTTAGTAACATAGGCCTATTATTTAAAATTTTGTTGACTATTTATTTCCGCGTGGAGATAAAAACCAACCGAAACTCAATAACTCAAACAATATCTATGTCTATATAATATACATATTGTCATTTAGTGAAATAATTCAGTAGGATATACTAATTCCTAATTATTACTCTTAAGCATATCATGTTTTTAGGATTATGTGAGTAAGAGACAACTGAATTTGAATTAAATGTAAGTGAAAATGTTTCATAGTTCATCCTGCAGAAGCAAGAACAGTAGTTTTAGTACAGACTATGTCTTATAGGAAGGATATGGACGAATTACTGCGGAAGTGTAATTGTTTAAATTTTGAAAAGCTTATGATCTGTTTTTAAATCAGGGGTTTTCAACCTTTTTCTTTCTATCACTCTTTCCAGGATCGTTGATCGATTGCATCACCCCTTCACCGTATAAATCCTTACTCTTTCATTATTTACTCTAAGATATCAAAACTACCTCCATGGGTAATTACCCCAGTTTGAAAACCCCTGTTTTAAATAAAAACTGTTTTGATGATGTAAAATAATAATAGAATTAGTTCAGATTTTAAGTCATTAAAAATAATATTTTTCGGCTCGTGTTTTCGACTTTGCAAGGCCATTAACGTGCATATTTAATAGCTTTATGGCTAAACTCAGGATAGAAGGTATCTTATGATTTTTACAACCAGGTTTCACCTGTGATGCAGATTATGAACGTTAAAGATCCTAAAATTTTTTCGAAAGGCACTTCATAACTTGTAGCGCTATTCATTTACGGTAATAAAGCAGTCAAAAGTAAGACCTACATGCATGATGGAATCATAATAATATTTTGGAAATAACCGAACCACATGAGCCAAAATGTAAACGTAAAATATTACTGAAGCATGTCGCCTGCCTTTTTTCTTCCCAAATCATGTCTAGACTTGCTCTATACTCAGATAACATCAAATGATGACAAAAGTTACCAAAAAAGGACTGTATGCATAAGTTACTAAAAATAGAAAGCATCTGATTGGAGTGGTTTATATCCAGGGTCTCCAGTTTTCTTGTTAGTAAACAATGACACGTGGTTAACAGACGAGAGAAATCACGATACAGTTGACAGTCTTTCAATATATAAATATTTAAGTCTATTCATCTGAAATTACATGTCAATCATTAGAAAAATCTCTTAACATGTTCAAAGTCCGGGCTTTTCCGATTGCAGGTACTAGGTTATTTTTAGTTTATTTTAAATCATAACACGCATTAAAATTGTGACAGTTTCGACACTTTCGATAACTATGAATTATATACGATCGAGGAAGTATTAATTAGAAGTGTACATGTGTTGAAAAAGGAGAGAGAGGGGGGGGGGGTTATAATGTCATAGAATTTTAAGATAATTTTTTTCTAATGGCAGTGTTTAGCCTATGTATTTCTGGAGAGTGGACTTCGTTATTCTTGGAAATCATACCATAAAAAAAAATCACCACAAAAACTGGCATTTTGTCAAGACTATTATAGTCAGACTACACTTTTATATACCTGTATTTATTAAGTGTAATAAGTATTCAATTTATTAGTCATCATTTTTTTGGAGACTATAGGACTTGTTCGATAAGTCAACTAGAATAACAAGGAATATAATGCTAACCGTCAATAAATCGTAGCAATTTCATTTAAGTATCTTCAAGAAGTATTATCGGAAGTAGAATCTTTTGAACTGATGGGATTATTAAGTAATTATTTAGTATCTTGTACAGCCTGTAGAAAGGAATAATTTCCGTTATGATGGCATCCATTTTATTACCAGAAATTCTGACTTAGAAAGCAGCAGACCCAGATTCCTTCACCGTGTGTTTAAGGCATGTTTCATTATTACAATTAACTTTAATGTGATTTAACTTTACTTTAGATTCTATTTTCATGATATTTTTCAGTGTTTATGGAGGATCTTGACGTAACCGACTGCTCAGACGACACCTTCCTACCAGACTTTGGAAAAATGCAAGAAATGTCAACATCCGGAAACAAGCGGAAGTCACCAAACACTGTCTACGATGAGGATGGTTTTAATGATCGTTTAAAGAGAGCTGCCAGGAAATCTGAATCGGAAGGAAGTTTAACTCCAATGGTCAAAGAAGAGCTGCGTTGTTTTATTGCTGCTAAACGTCATTCCGAGGGAAAACAAGAAATGAAAGTTGAGTTCAAACAGCCAGAAAAACATCCGGTAGGCCTATGTTTAATTACCATTAACTGTTCATTACATGATTCATTTTGACTTTTATTTGAATGAATGTATTCAACATAATATTAACATGTACACTGAACCATAGTCATTAAAACTGTTGATGCTTCGAATGTCCTTTGGACGGCGAGCCTAATGCAGTTGTAAAACTATGAAAAACCATAACTATCTGATCATTATTTTTTACAGCTGACAGCGGAAGAAATGATGAAAAAAGAAAGGCGGCGAGAACAAAATCGAAAAGCTGCCACTAAATGTCGTCGTAAAAAGAAGAATGCTAAAATAGAAAAGGAAAGCGTAAGTAGGCTATGATTTACTTTATGTTATGTAATATATTCGTCATAATTGTCATTTACAACTGCACCATCACTGCAATCCCTGCAATTTTTATCAGATTTGAATGCAGTATATTGTTTTTTATGGTTTTTTTAATATTTCAAAAATTGTCTTGGAAGAATACTTAGACGCTCTATAGCATTTACGCATTTTGAATTCAGCCTCGTCAGTTGCACCCCCCATCCCCTTAAGTCAGTCTGCCTCCTATTTGTTCCCCTATTCTTGTGAAGCTGTCGCCACCACAAATGTCACAGTTAACGGATTGATTATAATTCATTACCCTATTTCTTATTTTAGGAAATGAAAACTTTAAAGAATGAGAATGAAAAATTGTCCGAAATGGTGCGTGAGCTACAGGGTCAAGTGAAACAATACGCAGCCATTTTAAGACATCATGAACAATCTGGTCAGTGTGCCTTGCAACCCAAAGAGCCAGTTTCTTTAATTCACAATATACCTTCGCATCTGTTTGAAGATGATGGTAGTCCTGAAATTGATTCGCCGCAAAGTCCACGTTCGTTTTTCAGTTCATCAGCTGAAATCAGACTGAATTCAGGAGAGGCATCTTGTCCAGGGTATGTTAGTACTCATTATGCAAACCAAGAAATGACCAGGGTTATCGGCGAGTGTTTCGGTTTTGGCAATATACAGTTAAATAGCATGAGGGATTTTACTCCTCCCGTTTCACCACATCTTACAGAGTTCTCAGAAAACTCATTAGGTGACCCTCAGCTATCTGATCTGTTACGTGATCTGGGCTCATCTGACATGTAAATTGTTAAAATCTAGAAATAATTACAGCTAAAATTGACAATGAACTGTGTAACCACTATCAAACAAACTCGTTTCAAACATAACCAACTAAGTAAAACACAAAGACTTACTTGATGAAGGCATCATTTTTGTACATATCACAAACAGTACTGGGAGCAGGAATGAAATCCCCAGGTCTACCTCTGTATCAATACGAAGTAAATAATTTGTAAAAATATAATTAACTAATTGCGACTTTTGGATATGATGATATGAAATGCTGCCTCATCTTATCATCCAAGCTCATCCACGGCTGTATGATGTTCAGTGCTGGAAGTCCTTGCTGTAGACGTTTACTTTAATCACAAGAAAAACAAACTTCCTGGTACTCCCAGAATAATTTCACATCAATTCTTTGTAAGGCCAAGAATTTGTGACATAAGATAGAATGTTTCTGAAAATTGTGGTGTTGAGCTTTTTGAAGATATCACTGTTTTCTTACAGAATTTCTTATAGTTATTTTTGTAACTGTGCAATTATTTATGTTCAATCGTGTGTGTATATATATAACACATTTTGTCTTTAGTACTTGTAATTCTAATGATCAGTTTCTTTACTAAAGTGTACTGTGATATATAAACTACAATTTTCATGAACTTCGAGGCTATGATAAACACCACACATATTTATATGATGAATTTGTTTTAAACTTAAAATTATATTTTTGTTTGTGTTTTATATTTTGCTATAAAGATTCTCTTTAATTACGTATTTCAATAAAAACAATTCTCGAAAATTATTCAATGATTGTAAGCCTTTTTGATCTCATTTAAGAGAATCATCTTATACATAAAATTATTAAATGCTTCTATTTAAGAGATGCAGTTTAATTATATTGATTTTGATTGTGATCTGATCATTTGTAAATAGTTTGCTCTTTATTTTCTATTTACGCTGTATTCTAAAAGTGCTATTATAATATTATTTGTAAATACCCATTTGTAAATATTCATAATTTCTATCAGTTTTCATAATGATCTCAATTGGCAATATTTTCTCTCATTTATTTCAGTATTTCGTATTATTCATTACAAATACATCGAATGGGCGTAATAAATCAGCCAAAAAAATTGTGAAATTTAAAAGTAAAATGTGGAAATCACCGTCATATCTTATAATCATTATTGTTAATATGATGTCTATTTTCTTTCAATAAATTTCTAAAAAAAAACTGTTGAATGGTTTGTTTACAGAATAATATTGCTGTAGCCTATACCTGTACTCACTTTATATAAAGTAAGCAAATTGCATTTTTTGTGGATATTGAATGAGTGTGAAAAGAAAACAGTCCTTGAATCAAGGCATTGGCATTGTATGAATTTCTAACCAGCAATCTGTCGAGGCTTCCTCTGTCGAATACCGAATAACAAAACAAAGAGCTATCTTTGTATGGCATTTTTATCTATAAATTCTACTCACTGGTGGCAGACGGGGTAGTTAACTACCCCCAGTCCCCCGCCCTACGCAGCCCCGAAAGCAAGTTTTTCGGGCAAAAATCTCATAACTCGGTTAGAAATTCTGGCATCCCAGATATTTCGCCCCACCCCCCTCTCGGACGTAAACCTGGCTCCGCCACTGCTTGGAATTGGAGAGCCAAGACTTGAGATGAGATTTATTATGGTGGGTGATATAAGGGAGACAACTTTATATAATTGTACACTATAAGACAACTTCTGGACACCTGTAGGCCTATGTCACACGAACGACTGACCGATACTTGAGCTTTGACTTTAAAACGTTGAGATGAAGTTGGACTATTTGGTATAAGCCTGTGCCAGTGCCTTCTGTGGAATAGTAACTTTTCAATCAAATCACCCTAATCTCTTTGCACAGCCTACGCTAAAGTCGTTTTGTCCTGAAAGTATGGTCGACCGGTGCAATTCTGATTTTTCTGTTGGTTTTTTCTCTCTATTACCGACATGCATGTCTCTTTAGCAACGGTACGATCATAGTACCCTATACTTACACTGATATACATTTATAAGTTAACGGTTAAAATCACTCAGCGCCAGAAAACGAGGTAATTCCATCGGCTATACGCATTGAGACGAAGTAACTTGTAAGATAGAACACAGGCCCTTGAAGTTCTGACAATATTGATAAAATATGGGCAATGTGGAGAAAATAGTGTCAATATATATATAAAAAAAAAGAGAAGGCTTTCCAATGGCTTAAAAGGCACAAATGTAGACAAAGCTGTTTATTTGTTAGTGAAAGGCTTTTGCTTTAGCCTACTTTTTTTTGTGTCTTTGGTCGAAGGACTGCTTAATTTTGATTCCGGTATAATTTTATTGGTAATCAATCAGGTAGTACTCGCCAAAGAGTACTTTTCTCTTGTTTTGGAAAATAGTCAACTTCCATGAGCAAAACGCCATTACACTCCATTCCCGCATAAGTAAGCAGTCTTTCGTCAAAAAACACCAAAAAAGTAAAGCAGAAGTCTTGCACCAACATTTGTGCTTGTTAGACCATTTTCTTTTTTATATACGTTGATGATACGTTTTCAAAATATACTTATGCGGTTTTACTGCCTCTTTTGTAAGCCTATATACGTCGGATTTTACCATCATCTAATTCAGCTTCATAAAAGTACAGTTTACTTGGACAGATGTAAGTTTCAATTCAGTTTCAATGACAATTCGACAAGAGAATTTCCATTAGTCGAAAAATAATTGAAATTATTTCAAATCAATTCAGATGACAGTGTTTATCAGAAATACTTTTAATACTAAAATTATTATTAATTGACAGGTTGAAACTAAAACACAAATATTAAAATTTTTGGTTTCAGAATTGCCGCCCATAAAGAAAATGGATTTTATTTAAAAGAATTATCTCCCTTGAACTACACACCTCTTCTGTTCCGACGCGAGGTCAATGAGTTATATAACTCATTGCGCGAGACGTTAACGGAGTTTGAAAGTGACTGCAAGGACTGACAACTCTGTATTCGAGTCTAGTGATTCAAGAACGTATTCTACGAGAACAGAACGTATTCTACGAGAACATGAGGCCAAGATGCATGGTAACTTTTTTGGGCTTGATACTAACAATGTTATGTAGCAATGCATGTAAATTTTTTGTGCGGGACATTGAACTGTAATGGCGTTCTGCTCACGAACGTTGACTATGTTCCAAAACAAGACAAAAGTGTTTTTTGTCGAGTTCTAATTGATTTCATAAGTAAGCAAAAACACAAAAAAATAAAGCAGAAGTCTTTGCAACCAGTATCTTTATTTGCCGGGGAGGAAATTTAATCAGCTATGACAATAACGTGACGTTGTGGAGAATTCACAAAGCAACGATTTTGAACGCGTCAAGTATTGATAGTGGATTTGCTCTTATTTCGACAATTTTACTTCAATGGAAATTTGCAAAGGTCGGTGCAAATAATTTCTGTAAGTATGTTATATTCTTATCGAAAAAATCTACAACTGAAAAAACCAAAGTGGAAAATCTCTGAACTAGAACTAGGATCTTTTGGCACTAGCCTAATCTTGTAGCTCTGATAGGTGAAATATTTCAACTGGTACTCCACAAATAAATTCTTCTATGCTCCATCATACTGAACTTGCGGATTGGGCGTTTGAAATTAATTCGAAGATTCACTGAAATAGAGCATATTCACGTACAAAAATTTCACCAGAAAGTTTTGATATGGTGAGAAAGAAGTTTGAAAGTTCGCTCGGAAGGCCTACGCAAATTGTGGCCAATACAGCTCAATACACTACCATATTGTCAATGTAAATTGGGTTCATTACATTAAGTAAGTTAATTTTAAAAATATTCAAGTTTTGAATAAGTATGTCATTTCACATTTGAGTACTGAAAGTCTATAGAAATAGTTGCCAACTATATCATTATGACGTCACAAAACACTAGAACAACTGAGTTATAATGAAAGAATTTGTGCCATCGGACGTGTTTTTTTTATATACATGTACTTTACTAAATTCTGGTCACATTTGATGGGGCAAGTAAGTAAAGTTTAGATTATTACCATATATTGTTTGGAACAGGTCCGACCAACGAGCGCAAACAAGAACTATGAAAAACAGAGCGTGAGAACGCAAACAATACAGTAATATTCGACTTACCATTATATCATAAGTGACTGAATATCGAATCATGTGGTCTAAAATGGGGGGATTTCTGGCAAGTTGATTTCATTGCTATTAATCTTTCATCACTGGCCTACAAATGAAATGAATGGAGTTTTACGTCCTACTCTTCTGCACCTTGTGGGCTAATGAAGACGGGCAACGCCATGCAGGGTGCCAAGAGGGAAATTTTGCCAGGACAGTGGTATTAGCCTGCTCTTTTTCGATTTCCAACTGTCGAGGGATCTTTAACATGCACAGCCTGTTGCACACGGGGCCTCAGTTTATTGTCCCATCCGAACGACTAGAAGCTTTTTCCATGTCAGCCCCTCTTACATGCATCACTGACAGGGGGAAACCGGGTTGAAAAATCCGAAGGTATTATCTCGACCTATGCAGGGATTGAACCCTGGCCCTTCAGGTTAGCGAGCAAGCGTCTTTTTTTTACATCTTGTAAATATTTATTCATAAGTTATAATATACAATACAATATAATACAATGATATCAAAGTTATCATATAATTAAAAGGAAAAATTATAAATCATTATCACAGATGAAGTTTCTTTATTGGAGTAAAAAAAGTAAAATACTTATTTATATGAGACTACATGTGTATAACGCTATAAAAACGTCGTCTGCTAAAACTAGGGTAAATAACTCTTGAATAAAATAAGAAAACATAATTGTAAGGATTTAAAACTCAGTTTAAATCAATACCAATAGAATTATCCAGTTGTATGTTAATAAAAAAAGGAGGGTAAAATAAATTTTCGAATAAAAACATGTCTCTTATACAGGGGTTTAATATATAAGAGAGATTTTCCTAAAATATGTTTGTAAAGTTTAATTAGATCAATATT